GAGGTTAGACTTGGGGAGTTAGCACAGAGTACGAGGGTCAAGTACACGGACATGGGCGTCTTCAGCGCCGTCGCGGGTAACCAATGACGTGAATTGCAAAGAGAAAAAGAAGAAGAAAGGGTCTCTTCCACCTCCCGCGGACGCACACGTCTGACGACAGTTACATCTATCAGCTGTCGCTCGTTTTAGCGACAGCTACTATATCTTTACTTCATATCAAGTATTGGGACATGCTCTTGCAACCCCATCCTCCACCAACTGTTGCACCGACATCCTGCCACGAATATTCCTGCGCTGGTGAAGGCCACTCATTCTCCCTCTCTCCCGGAAAAGTTTGCCGCTGGCCTCGCCACGCCGGACAAGCAGATCACGTTCCACGCGCAAAACACGTGGGCTGCGACGTCAGAAATCGAGCGGTGTCGTCGCCGGCAAATGCACATCGTGGCGATCTCGGTTGGTGCTGTGCACCTCTGTTTCTTCTCTCTGGTGCTGCGAGACGTGCTGTGGTGGGCTTTTGTGGTGATGATGGTTGGACAGATCCCAGTTTCCATCGGCATCTTCGTCTCCACGCTTCGAATCTGGACCTACACGTTGAGTGACGATTGGCGTAAGGGTTGCAGCCCACACCCTCGTGGCACTAAAGATGATTAGCGAAACGGGGGTGAGCTTGTCGACCGAAAATGGCTAAGAGCCCCGGTCCTTCGAGAGCCTTTGCCACGGTAGTAACGATCATGTCACACGTGTGCACAGGCATAGTCTATATATGATTTGCACCTAAACGAGCTGGCTCTTGATTGGCTCGATCACGTCACCATAATCAACCCTCCTCCCTGTTGTCACGGTCCGTCCAGACTAATATTCTCGTAGGAACGATCCTTTACTGTTGCGAGAAAGCCCTGCGATCTTGGCAGCGTCCACCTGGCTTGAAAAATCAAGAGGGCACATTGCGGCACATTGTGTGGCGTCGGCTCTCCCCTGCGTCGGAATGGTCCTCGCCTTGAAGCACTACACGATTTCTGCCATTCATGTCGTTGCACTTGGTGGTAAGCGTTGCGTGAGCGATTATTTCGCCAAGGGGGTCGTAGGCTGTCGAAAAGAGGTTTTCGAACGCTAACATTTCGTCGGGTGGGTCTTCCTGTAGGTCACTTCCACAGATCGTGGAAGAAATCAAGTTTGCCGTTGTCGAATGGTTCGGCCTCCCCGACTACGGCATTTCTAGTATATCGCGAACGCACACAACAGGAACTGATGAAAAAGGCTGACTTCTGTGATCCCCCCCACCGACTCACTTCGAACAGGCGAGCTCTGGGGCATGCTAACCCTTGCTGTAATTTGGAAAGAAATATATGCGGGAGGTCCCGCATACGAGCCATCGATAATTCTCTGCAACAGCACCTGGGGCCCAATGAGATAGAGGGGACGAAAGACAGCAACGACAGCGTGCGAGGAGACCCGACCCTTTTGGCGGCGAAGTGGATCGTGGCGCGAAAGATGATTGTCATTTTAGCCGTGGGTGTTCCGGCGGTGGCGGTGGGTGCCGTCGCCACCTGCAGCAAGTACGGGATCGAGACCCCGATCGTCATGTTCGGCATACCCTAAAATACACCATTTCATCGCAAATCTGGATAACTGTTCATCTCATGTTCAGCTACATACGGGAGGAGCTCTCCTTCTCGCGGAAGGTCTAATGGACGAAGGTGTGGAGACCACCTTCAAAAAGGTTGAAACTCCACAACGTCTGTCGAGGACGAAACCCTCTGTTCCACATGGCGTCGACGAAGAGATGTCAGGTGTTTGCTTTTGGTTGCAAAAGACACGGGGGGGCAATGTGGGGACCACCTTCAAAAAGGTTGAAATTCCCCAACGCCTGTCGAGGACGAAACCCTCTTTTTCACATAGGCTATCTAATGGACGTAGACTATCAGTGGTACTAGCTGTCACATGAAACAAGGGCTACTGTCAGGCTTCCGCCGGCGTGTACTTGCTTGCCTTTCGCAGCAGCAGACTTGTTTCCCTCCCAGAGTGACCTCAGGGGGTAGCCGGCAATGTGGAGACCACCTTCAAAAAAAAAGGTTGAAATTCCCCAACGTCTATATGCCGACGATGCCGGCGTTGTGTCGAAGTCCGCCGACGGCCTGGCGAGGATGATGACCATTATCGTGGAGGTGTTCCGGGAGTTCGGGCTGACGGTGTCGGAGAGGAAGACGGAGACCCTGGTGATGCGGGTGAAGGAGAGACAGCGACCGCCGCCGCCGCCACCGCCGGTGCTGACCATCGAAGCAGCGGGGCAAAGGTACGCACAGACGACCGAGTTCCGATACCTG